CTAAAGAGTTGAGTTCAGTTGATGCCGGACTATGTCCCAAATTGAAAGACATGGTCCCTTGCATTCTTCAAGACAATCACCAAAATCAGATGGGTTACCTGAGCTGTTTACACACCCATGTCAGCGTCACATCCACCGGGATATCAACTGTACGTCCCCAACCACGACAAGTGGTATCGATTCTTCAACCTGCAATACGATGGTAAACTGGACCCTTACGTACCGATCATGAGAGGGGAACGATGAACGGCCATGATGACCATGGTCACAGCCTTGGAACTGTACAATCCGGAATGGCATATAAAGAAAACAGAAAACGAATGATGACATTATTATAAACTTGTCGTGCCAACCCAACAAACGCTGGAACAGGTCAAAGCGAAGTTGAAGAGAGAAAGGGAAAGTTTCAATCGGCCAAGGGACACCACAATGGAAGGAGTGTCAAGAAAAACGAATGAAAATAGGTTTTTAGAATATACAAAAGACTAAAGTTGTCATTGAATACTTCATTTGTAGTAGGACTGCTGATGTGTGAACATCATCATGCATCTTTTTAGATAAAAGCAGCTAGTGGGCAGGTTTGCCGTCATTTAGACTTGGACCACCATGCAGTCAACAAAGTGTCATGTGTGCTATCAGACTTTTTCCAGGACAGACAATATGTTGAGACATAGAAGACAGAAACATCAACAACCCTCTCCTCCTCCTGATGGCCCTTCTCATCCTTCTCCTCCTGGCCCTCCTCCTTCGTCAACGCCGACCTGGCAGCAGCACAGGCAAGTGCTGTACAGTCTTTGGAAGAATTTAGGCTATTACATCCATTCACAATGATCATCTCAGGGCCAACGTCCTGTGGGAAAATCTACTTAGTGAAGCAGCTTCTAGACAGGATGAACATTAAACCTTCACCTGAACGTATTATATGGCTCTACAAACGATGGCAGCCACTGTATAACACCATTCAAAACTGTGTTTATCCCTACGTTGAATTTCATCAAGGCATTCCTTCTGATCTCGAAAAGTTTCTGCTCGACGACTTCATGTCTACTGCCAGCAAAGATCCAGACATTACAGATCTTTTTACCAAAGGAAGTCATCATTGTAATCTCTCGGTGATCGCCTTGAACCAGAATTTGTTAGCACTAATTAGTCTCTGTTGAGCAGTGAAGTGGCTCTCGGACTTAATGAGTTAATATCTGTCAATAAACTATTTTCATGTTATGTTGAAATCATTTCGTCAATTTGTCGTGACACCCCTCACACACGTACAAATCATAGCATATCGTCCGCGTGAGTAAGGGACACAGGGTTTTTTCAAACGGCCGGGCGAGATCAATGAAATTCTTTTGTATGGTCACGCATTAGGGTGAGTCGTGAAAGGAATGCCTTTGTTGAATTAAGCTCGATCGGCGGATTGTTACTATAAGCACCCTAATACTGTACACTCGTACAGACGTGAAGGAATTAAGAACTGAACTGGAACACGCTTATAATGACTTCTGACTACACGCGTAATAAGGGGGAAATGCTAATGTCTCAGGTCAATCTATTATTTTTGTTTTTTCGCGTGTGTTTTTTTAATCGTCAGTGCTATATGACCTATTTATATCAAAAGTGAAAAATAAATTAACGTCTTTCGCTTCTTACCTCGATTTAATGTTTGACGTCGTCAAACAACATACGATGTTTCAATCGTTGACGACGCTAATGACTAGTGTGGGGACGCTACGAACATTTATACTGAGAAATGATTCTTCTTTGGTGGAATTATGATCAAAAACCAATCGCGACTTGTGACTGTATCGATTTTTTCGAACGGTTAAGGACGCTGTTAGAGTGTGACTCATGCCACCCAAATGGACAATGAACCGACCGTGACATCATGTGGTTGAATGCCTCTGATTGGGTGGAATTATAATCGGACACCGACACACCCTCAGCCACGCCCCTTTCCGACTACAACGAGGTATATACAACACATATTTGAAGCTTGTACAGTTCTATTCCAAAGAGATCTCCAAGTTCCATTTATGTCAACTCTTCTATCGGGGAGCAAAACAATGTATGAAAACTTAACAGGTCAAGTTTGCTGAAATACATATGTACTGGATATATTCACGATACATAGCGATTCCTCTTGTTTTAGATGCTGCTCATGCTGTTCATCACTGGATTGTCTGGTCCAGACTCGATTACTTACAGACCGCCGCCACATAGCTGGAATATTACTGAGTGCGGCATAGAACTAAACGCACTCACTGTTTTAGGTGCAAATTCTCTGCCAGATGTATACGGTGAGGTGAGGTGAGGTGAAATTGGGTTTAACGTCGTGCTTGAGAATATTTCACTCATATGACGACGTGCATGTGTGTGTATGTGTATGTGCGGCTGCTTGTACTAGCCCAGACTGAAGCCGGTTTTATAGTGCTAGCCCACTGAGATACCATGCCGCAGTGAAGCATGAATACCCCACTCAGACACATTATACTGACTCCGAACCGACCAGTCCTTGTTGTACCCAGTAATGCCGAGCGCCAGGCAGGGACCAACAAGTACCATATTTTAACGTCTTTTGGTATGACGCGGTCGGGGATCGAACAGTACTGTCGGAAATAGAAAAAAAATGTTTTTAGGCTGTTACTCTGTATCCCTAAAATTTACACAATTGCAAATAGCATATGTCGAAATAACCCACTTCGGCCTAACTGGGCGTTCAGTGGGATGCGTAATACGATATCCAGAAAAGCATGTTTACTCGTAAAATCGGGCAAAACTTAGAAAAAATACGAATAGCTGCTGAAAACAATAGATCAGACTATAGATGGCAATTAGGTCGCTCAGCCAGGTATGACGACGGACCGTCGACTCACCTGGCATGAAATGCACGTGCTGCCTACAGGCACAAGGGGTCATCTCAAAGATATTTTGTGCTTTTTCATGTGTGTTGACTATGTCTCATCTACTGATTAACATCTTACGTGTCTTTCTTTCATAAAGTTTATGTTGAGATATGTAAGAGAGTATGATACCCGAAAACCATAGAAACGCATCGTAGTATATAGGTGGCATGACCACCCGAAGATCGACAGGACTGGATATTATTTGTAAATTGTTATGACGTGCCGTGTACCTCCCCAGTATAATTGCCCTAAAGGATTATCTTATCTTAGCTGATATCTCTATCCCCAAGCCCGACCCCAGGTTTTGCTTTTGAGGCGACCCCTCCTATCTGTTTCTTTTTATAGTGACAGTGAGACTGCATGGTAGCTACATCCTTAATAGTTTCGGCATAAAAGTTATTATTTTTTACGTCAGCTATCGTTTATAATGAATCTACGTCTAATTTCAAATTGGGCATTTAAAAAGTGTCCTTTGTAATACAATATCGTCGCACACTAATTTGCATAAAGCCATGGTCTGTTCCAAATAAGTCTTTTTGGACTTAGAAAAAAACCGCATTGCTCATTTCTGCACTAATTTCCCCTCAGTAAAGTCCTTTTTCTCCGTTTCCTATCTCTCTACCACTGAGACTGTAGTTAGGCCGAACTTAGTTTAACAGATATTTCACACTTTCACATATCAACTACATAAATTGTAGAGATAAATGAGAAAATACAGTTTTTTCTATTTCCGACAGTACTATTATTGACAATAAGAGGAAGGCAATTTTCCATGAGGCAGAAACAAAAATATACATGACTGATAAGATTAATTAGCAATTAATTGACAACGGTATTAGAATCTATACCGAACATTGCATCACATATAATCATGAAGTTGTTATCCATAAAGTATCTTACTTTCTTATTACTCACCAACCTCTAAAATGCCAATCAAACAGATTTGTTGATCAATATATACATTTACTACCAATTGCTCTTGCGGATCGCGCAGCAGAAATTGTAAGCCTTTCAAGAATTCTGGGATATCATCCGGGTACTCATGGGAGAAAAACAATAACAAAAGCAACAACCAGTCCATGGAAATTGCTCTGGATCAGTGTCCCTTCAGTATGGGCTATGAAGTATTAGAAGAGGATGTATATAAGCTCTTAACATTACAATCATATCTCTATTGGCTGTTAAGTATAAGAAGCATATAGAATACATCTCCAAGTGTTTAGCATTACATACATATGTCTATAGGTTTTTTAGCATTTAAACATCCGAGTATGCTACGAAGACTGAATATCATATCTCTGTGGGCTAATAAGTATAAGAATGGTAGCAATGTGGCCTATTTGCATAAGAAACATATCTCTATGGGCTGTTAAGTTAAACTGCAAAATATGTTAAAAGGACATTAAGTACTTGGAGCAATATCCCTATGGGCTGTCAAGTGTAAGCGGCGTATATTTGCTGGATCTGTAGACTGTAACTATAAGAAGCATATCTCTATGGGCTATCAGGAGTATACTCCATGGCCTATTCAGTAGTAGAAATTTATTTCTATGGGCTGTTCAATAACAGAAACATATCTCTATGGTCTAATAAGTACTAGAAGCATACTCCATGGCCTATTCAGTAGTAGAAGCATATTTCTATGGGCTATTCAATAACAGAAACATATCTCTATGGTCTAATAAGTACTAGAAGCTATTCAGTAGTAGAAACACATCACTATAGGCTATTAATTATTAAAAGCATATCTCTTTAGGGATTAATATTAGAGCATATCTCTATGGGCTACAAGAGACATATCTCCCTGCAATAAGCAATGGTCAGCAGACGGTGACAGAAAAGAGTGCAAACATGACTTTTTCATAATGCCTCAGAACACATGATCAAAACCACAAAATCACAAATATCTTTGCACCATTTGACATCAACTGTCTGAATTGGTCCACATTCAAATCTTGGTGATGACCTCACAAATTACCCTGACCAGTGAAAATCTGGGTTAGAATTTGTCTTCAGCAACCCATGCTTGTCGTAATAGGCGACTAATGGGATTGGGTGGTCAGGGCTCACTGACATGGTTGACACATGTCATCATATCCGTATGTAGTTGATCACTGGATTCTGTCCAGACTTGATTATTTACAAACAGCCGCCATTAGCTGAAATATTGTTGACTGTGGCTTTAAACAAAAACAGACAAACAAATAACCTCACCAATATCTGTTCACATAGATGTGAGAAAGGCCCTCTAATGATCGCACCCAACTTTTACAGCTTTCAAAGCACCATGGAAAAGAACTATTTGACAGGGTCTTAAAACCTAAGTCTTTGTGCATAAATTTTCATCAATCTGAGGCTTTGTGCAAGGTCATCATGTCCCAGAATGTTCAGTATACGAAGGAGTTCTTCAGCTGTGGCCTCTTCACCTTTGAATTCTTTCCAAAACAACATTGCAGAATAGATTCTTTCTGGGAGTTTCTCTTTCCCATGATGAATCTGTTCAAATTCAACCATTTTTTCTTCTGGAAAGTGTAGTTTCTTCATCAAATAACGCAGTTCATTCTTGTTAAGATCATACTTCATTCTCTCAAACATCTTGTTCAGGAGCAGTTCTAAATGAAATAAAAGTCAAGTGCGAGTTATTGTAAAAATACACATACATATTTCCGCAATTATTTCGAACGGAATTCCTGTTGCAGATGAGCTCAGTTTGTATTCTTTCATAAGACCTATATTGCAGGTTCAGATTCTAAATGAAAAACATACAAACTTTCCTATTTACTTCATAGTAACATGATGTTGCATGCTTGTCAACATGTCAAAACACTAGAAAGCAAATGGGGTCAAAACACCTGCACATGCTGATCTACTCCACACTTTCCACATGTATTGTGTCCTTAATTGAAAACTGAACTAAAGATTGGATCCAAATTGTTTGAACTGTTTCGAATTCGTAAGTATAATGGTTTCATAGATGTTGAAAAAGTGGAAAAGGTTTATGACAAACCATTTATGTACAGACCAGTAAAACAAGGAATGAAAGACGAAATATTTTCAGATAAATGAGTTGATACTAAATCTAAACTTTCCTTAAGTCAAGCATGTTGTTGCGTGTTTACTCAAACAAAAAGAATATCTTGTTTATATGAAATAACTCTTTTTTTATGCTCATCATAACAACAGTACTTTTGCTTCTCATGTGCACTCAAAGAGAGTGAAAACTAAAAACAAATAGAATTATTAAAAATAAAAAAAAAGAAAGTATGGTTGCTGACTGTGTAAAGTGATCTGTCCTAAGCAGGAAGACAGTCTGTTCCAAATGCAATATTCTTCACAAGGATATCATTAAACATAAAATGCATCAATGCATTTGGAAAAACAGTTTAAAAACAAAATCATGAAGTCAACATCATCAAAATGCTTAAAGATATAAGGCCTTAAATAAATTTATGATCATAATTGCCTTCACGAAAGATTCTGCTCATCACCAATATATGGACAAAAATATGATAAGAAATATATAAATATTACTCATCCAAATCTAAGATCCCTGAGGGAACAGAGGCCAGGGGAGAAGTGCATTAAGTGAATATTTTCTACCAAACATCAGACAGGCCGTCCATGCAGAGAGCCTGCACTTCTGGTACTGGTTGCCATAAATGGCTGCAAAATTGCTGATGCGGCATCGATCAATACTCACTCACTCACTCACTCGCTCTGGTACTGGACTGACATATGCAAGGAGCTTGTGACTGAGACATCCCATTGATGTGAGAAATGTCCAAAGTCTATGACATCAACTTGAAGAATGAGTAATGTTGAGACCAAGTAACTGAGGTGTCATCCACAGCAACCTGTAGTGACAAACAATCCAACCTAGTTTTGTACTGCATGGTAAATCATCCACATCAGTAAGGAACTGTGTTGTCAATAAGTTTCCTGGACTTACCAAGCTAAATCTGTGTGATCACCTAAACCCTTTCGGGTGCATTCATGTGAAGGTGGTTGTCTGGTGTAGAAATATCAAGAATATGCCCATTGAGGAGTTTGGTGTTTTGGTGGTATGCCCAGATCAAGGTGTCTTGATAAGTGTAACCAGACTTACAGATGGCAGTGCTGAAGACTTCGTAAGAGATGTCAGTAACTTCTCTATAAAATTCCTGGGTAATCACAATGATTGTCTCAGGATGTGACAAACTGGGTTCAGCACAAAAATAAGTGTCATATCTGCTGGGAGACTCAACCCAAGAAGATCTGCGTTTAGAATTGGTCCTCATTCTTGTCGTAAGAGGAGACTAACGGGATTAGGTGGTCATGAGCTAAATCGAACTCATTCTTTCTGCAAGCAAAAGCGTTTCTTCCATGTTAACACAGGGTAAACAACTATCACATGGGTGAGAAGTATCCTTATGCATGGCAAATCTTGGATGTTCCTATTCATTATAAGACAATCATCAGGTAAGATGGCATGGCAAATGTCCAGAGATGTAAACTCTTGTGTCAGTGAGAGAATCTCACATGAATTCTGAAATGACCTGTTTAAGTCAACGATATAGCTGTCACAAATTGTGATATAGCTAATGAAAACAATGATGGTTTGTTAAACAACTTGTTTAATTTTTAGACAAAAATTATTACAATATTCTGCTGAGTTGGTGTCTTTTTCTTATTAACTTTGGCGTTGGTTTGAGTCATTTATGATTATTTGTTTTTGAGTTGTTGAGAGCTATTACCGGTAACTGGGGAGATTTTGACTCAAATGGACTATACCAGTAGTGAAGTATGTTATTAATGCCAGTGACATTGAAGGAGGATAAAGAGTAAGATAGGAAACATCAAAGTCTTTTTATTAGTATTGCATAATACCTCCTGGATTTGTCCAACATTCACTCATGGAGACAAACTATACATGAGTCTTCAAATGGTGATTTGAGGCAATCTATCCCACTCCTGAAAACGAACATAGCTGGTGGCCTATGACACTGACACACTCCTATTATGCCCCAGTTCAGTGGGAAGAGGGCTCATTGGTGGCATTCTGTGGACGTGCTCTGCTGGAGGTGTGCATTTATATTTTTGCACAATGTCATCCTGAACATCACCCCAAACACCTTGCAAAAAGAAGAACAATCGGTGTGTATCTTGCCATGATAATACCCTTCTTTGCACATAATGGAGCTGGGTTCACTCACTCAAGTGATGCAACTCCACACCAACATTGATCCACTGCCAAATCTCTCATGAGGTCACAGATTGACCATGGCTTCAGATATGACCTTATACCCAGAGATACAAACCCCAAAGTGTTGCAAAGGGTCAAAATTAGTAGTTTGACCATAAAATTAGTAGTCAGCTAAATATTTAAAATCATGATGGATTCTGAGAAACATGTGTCACTAATCCAGAGTGAAGCTTTAATTTAACAAACCTCAAACAGCAAAAAAAAAGATATCAACATTACATTTCTTCTTGTCTCTTTTTGGCGAAAATGTATTTAATCCACGAAAATATATGCTTTTGTCTATATATGTGAATTGTTATGAATTTTCTTCAAATTTCGTAGAATTTCTAGTGCAATCATACTGGCATACTTTGAGGTTAAAATTCGTAATGACTATGGTAAATTCATACAGGTTGGCATCTCTGTATACCTATGAAGGAAGTGCATGACACGTGACCAGCAATGATTACCCCAGCTTCCACGGTCTGTACATATTGATGTCAATCTACAAGAAAGAGCGACAGAACACCTGTCAATCAAGCTGCATGTAGATGATTTCTAATCATTGTACCTGTTGCAGAATTACTGACTGATATTTATTTACCTTGAAAGTTTCAAAATCAGGAATGACACCGTAATGTAATTGTGTGATCTACAACATCCACACATAGAGTGTTACTACTTAAAGGAATTTTGACTGCTCAAATAACTGGAACCAGAACCAATTACTTTTTATAACCTTGAGATGATACTACAAGAAAGCAAAATGTTGATTTCTCAGGCTATGTACAGATCAATCAAATAACTGGAACCAGAACCAATTACTTTTTATAACCTTGAGATGATACTACAAGAAAGCAAAATGTTGATTTCTCAGGCTATGTACAGATCAATCAAATAACTGGAACCAGAACCAATTACTTTTTATAACCTTGAGATGATACTACAAGAAAGCAAAATGTTGATTTCTCAGGCTATGTACAGATCACAGATGTCTACATTGACAGGAAAGAGAAAATCTCACCATATCAGAATGTAATATTTATGATAAAATTGATATTTTATAGTTATCCTGACTCATACTAACTGCTTTATCTCCCTTTCCTCACGAAGGTTGAGTGGAAACCACTATCCCTATGTTCCCTAAAACACTTACTCACCCAAACAGGGCCCCTTTGCCTCCTTTCCACCATTTGTCTCATGTGACCAGAGGCCGTATTGTCACTCTCTCCAAAAGTTGCAATTACTAAGGCTTGCAAGGAGGCCAGATAGCGGTGAGAGAGGATGGTTGGAAGGGCCCGCTGATTATGAGTCAGGGTAAGTATAAAATATCAATCATAAAAATTACATATTTTTCCTTATCCCGACTCATACTTATTTCTTGAATCCGACAGACAGGTCTTGGGTCAGCCTCCTATCTGGATTCCCTGTGACTGCTTCATCAGTCCTAGTCTGATCATATAACCCCTGGGAACACTTCTTCATTCTTCTTCTTCTGCGACTAGTGAGCGGGGTACTACCTTCTCTTATAAAAAAAACAAAAGTAAATCTTATGATTTTGTGGATTTGAAGACATGCTGAGAATTCTCGATTCTAGCTTTCTTAAACGATCCATATGTTAAGAAAGGGGCTACTTTCGAAACTGAATTGCATCACTTATGTGCTGACTTATCTTGTAAGACTGGGGAGCATGGACTCTCTGTCAGTGGTTATGGGACAGTAACCTGATGTCTACGTGATTAAGGGTGGGTCTTAATCCTTCCTATCGTCTAATCGGGACTGTAAATAGTTGCTTCAGTATGAGCGGTCCGAACTGGTGGATACTGGCTACATCTTCCGTGGCAATATCTCTGAGATAATGGTTGGCAAAGACAGTCTCTGATTTTCAAAAGCAGCCTTCCATGATGAATGAGAGAGCAGTTGCCATGTAGAGCTAAAGTCGATGCAAATGTTCTAACTTCCTGTGGGTTGGAAACTCTATGCAGATCCAATCCTGCTGCTTTGCATGCTCGTAATATTACTGCTCTTATCCAAAAGGTGATCGTAGCTCTGGAGACTTCTATAGATGTTGCAGTCGACAATGGGACAAATAGATGTAAAAAGTTCCTTCGTCTTGTAGCAATTCATTTCAGGTAGATCTTCAATGCCCTGACTGGTTATAATGATATATAAGTCCTGTGTGTCGTTGGGTCCTAATATTGATGATAAGGCTGGAATGTCGAATTGTCTGTTTGGTTGACCGGGTAGCTGATTTTTCACTACCCTTCGGTGAGTTTTACTCCTGTGTTCATAGTGAGAACCGAGCTAATAGTCGCTAGGTAGGTTGAGAGAGTAGTTCCTTTTAAATGTCTAGTAACTCTCATGTGGCATAAATATTCCGCAACTTGAGGG